CTGGGAGTCTGAGATGAAAGGGCCGGTATGTTCAGTTTCTGGTGCTTGTAGATGGCAGTCTTCTCACTGTGGCCTCGCATGGCTTTTCCTCTTTGCATGTTTGCAGACAGACCGAGGTCGATTGAGAGCTCTCTGCTGTCCCTTCTTCTGCGGAGACTGGCACTGTCAGCTCAGAACCCCACGCATGGGACTTCATTTAGCCTTAACTGCTTCCTCAGAGGCCCATCTCCAAATGCTGGGGACGCGAACTTAACTCTGAATTTCGCTGGGAGTGCAGACACTCAACCCACAACATGGGTTCAAGGAGTTTTCTGCTTTTCTTGATGATTCCGTTAGTCTTCGCTGCACAGCCAGCCATCCCAAAACTTTGTGACTTGAAACAGTCGTATTTATTGCGTGACTTTTTTTAGGATTCTGAGGGGAGGCTGCGTGATTTCTCCGCGTCCATCTTTGGCATTGCACACGAGGCTGTCCACATCTGCGGGGCTGACGGGGCTGGGAGGCCCGAGGCAGCCTAGTCATGTGTGCAGATGACCCTGGCTCCCGGCTGGGGACATTTGGTTTCCTCTCCCAGAGGCTGGTGTGCTGTTTCGGGGCCCCAAGGCCAGAGCGGGAACTGCTAGTTTTCTTCAAGTGAAGGCTTTGGAAGTCACGTGTCGCTTCTGCCGAGGTCTGTTAGGCAAAGCGTGTCGGCAGATGAGCCGGCTTACAGGTGGTGGGGCAGACCCTCTAGGAGCAGGCAGAGCAGAGGATTTCCATTGCGGATTCCAGTTTTTCCTCTCCTCCGTTTATGTGGTGAATTATATTTCCTGTGATTAAACCATCCGTTCAGAATTGTCGTGTGTCTTTTTTAGAGGTTGATTGATACTTATTTGTGTCTGTGTTCAGGATTAAAATTGATCCTTGAACATCTTTTATTTCTGGTAGTGTTTTTCCTAGTCTCTGTTACTTGACTCGAGGATTGCTGCCTCGTTTCTAGTCCCTGAGGGGTTCGTGTGCGATCTGAGCTCCTGTGACGTCAGATCCCTCAAGTGAACTGCTGGTGTCTGCGGTTAAGACGGTGGTTTTTAACTTTCCATTTAATTTTTTAAACTATGCCCCTGATTTAGTTTTGCTGTTATTTCTTGGGGCTCTTTTATTAGTTTATATATTCCTAGGAATTTCTGTTGGCCAAATTTATAACTTTTTATGGCATAAAACTATTCAAAATAATCTCATTAATGTCTTTTAGTCACTCCTGTATGTGTAATTATATTCTTTTTAAAATTGGATTTTAAGGGGCACCTGGGTGGCTCAGTCAGTTAAGCGTCCAACTTCGGCTCAGGTCATGATCTCATGGTCAGTGAGTTCAAGTCCCACATCAGGCTCTGGGCTGACAGCTCAGAGCCTGGAGCCTGTTTCAGATTCTGTGTCTTCCTCTCTCTCTCTGCCCCTCCCCCACTCACTTGCTCTCTCTCTCTCAAAAAATAAACATTAAATTTTTTTTAATTGTATTTTTAAAATAAACTTTTAACTCATTTTATCTTTATCTTATATCACCCAGTATACTCAGAAATCTCATGATTTTCTTAGTCCTTTCAGTAAACTTTTTTTTTTTTCAAGACAGAGAGCATGAGCAGGGGAGGGGCAGGGAGAGAGAGAGGGGGAATCCCAAACAGGTTCCCTGCTGTCAATGCAGAGCGCCATACAGAGCTAGAACTCAAAACTATGAGATAATGACCTGAGCCGAAATCAAGAGTCAGACACGTAACTGACTGAGACATCCAGGTGCCCGTGACTTTTGGTTTTTTATCTGCTCTCTTTTCTATCAGTTGTCTTTTCATTAAATATTTTTTTCTCCTTTTACTTCCATCTCCATTTTCAACTTTGTTATTTAAGTTTGGCTCAGTTTTAAACTTTGTGTCTTTTTAAACATAAGCCTTTGCTGCTTTAATTTCTTCCAGCGTCTCATTCACTGAAGTTTGATGGTGTTGATGTGTGGAATGTTCGTGATGATGGTGTTTCCAGCAGCCCACACTGTCAGCCCGAAGCCGTGGTGGAGCACACTGTGTGTCCCAGTCATTCCAATCTGGGTTTCTAGGTCTTAACGTTGGAACTCTGACCCTTAGGAACTGGACTCACATAGGGGACATTTTACAGAGTGATTGACCAGTATGGCTTACAAGTGTCAAGGGTATGAAAGCCTTTCCTTGACTTTCATTGTTTTGGGTGGGACTACAGATAAATTACAACTCAATACGATCCCAGATTCTCCTCAAACAGAAAAAGGACATTCGTGGAAAAATTGGTGAGGTTGAAATAGGGCTTGTAATAGCTTAGTTGGTAGTACTGTGCCTTTGTTAGTTTCCTGGTTTTGATCATTGTGCGCTGATTGTAAGATGCTGATGTAGGGGGGCACGGTGAAGTCTCTGAAGGGAGTTCTCTGTACTATTTGTGCAACTTTTCTGTCAATCTGAAAGTCACGCATAATAGCAAGTAAATCAGCAACGCAAGCTCCAGGCCCTTTCGGAAGGGCCGATGTCACAGGGCAGATGCTGCCTTCTGGATGCATAGGTCTAGATGAGCTGCACCACCATGGTTCACTCAGGGGCGTGGAATCACGGTATTGTATGCATGAGACTGTGAGAACGCTGCACTAGCCACACTGGATTAAAATAAAATACTTAATGGTAAAAATACAGACTTCCCTTAATGTTCCAGGTACTTCAGCTATAAATCTTAAAAGGTTTTTTGTTGATTCTGTTGTGTAATTGTGGTTTTACACGTGCTGTGTTACAGGATTTCTCCAGGTGTTTCATCTGACGCATCCCTGGAAACAAATATGTGATCTGTTCAGTTTCTCTGAAAGTCCATTTTCTCATCTGTAAATTGAGAGTGTTTGTTTTCAAATATTGTATTCCCTCTCATTCCAAGAAGGATGACACCAGAGGTGACTTAGAAAATGTAAGCAGTCTGTCAGTGTAACATTAGTACTGGACAAAGTCAGCCACAGAGAAGACAAGGGAAGGAAAGGAAAGCCAGGGAAGCATTTTATGCCAAGAGAAGGCAAAATGAACAACAAAGTAAATGTGTTGTTTGTGGAGAATCCCACCCTGTTTGACACCATTTTAATGGAGTGTTAGCAAATAAAGTACTTTTTAAAAAATATTTATTTATTTTTGGGAGACAGAGGGACAGAGTGCAAGCAGGGGAGGGGCAGAGAGAGAGGAAGACACAGAATCCGAAGCAGGCTCCAGGCTCCGAGCTGTCAGCACAGAGCCTGACGCGGGGTTTGAACTCACAAACCGTGAGGTCATCACCTGAGGCAAAGTCTGACACTCAACCAACTGAGCCACCCAGGCATCCCCAAAGTAGTTTTTAATTGGTTTAAAATGTAAATAATGGGAAGATTTTATTACCTGTGCTTTTTAAAAAGATAAATAAATATGTGAGATTTTGTAAAAACAAAAGATGGTCCACAATTCTAAGTTATAGGTCTATTCTCATGGTAAAAATATATCATTATGTATATGAACTCTCTTTTTATTAATCTGTTTGTTTAAGATTATAGTATATTATCATAGTGTTATTAGGAAAAGCAAACCTCACATATTGTTTTTCTAGGACAGAAAGCATGGCCTTTTGAGCTGGCAAGTATTTTATTCTTAAAATCGTTTTTAGCATCTTGTAAAAAAGTTTGCATCTCTTTTCCTTTAGACATCCCTTTGCATCCTTATTTGTTTTCTGGCTTGTTTGACAAATTTAAAATACAAATAAGTGATAGCGAATGTTAGCAGAGTTAAAATAGCACTTCTTCTGACTACCAACTAGCGGTGTTTTGTGGTGTGGCAAAGTTGATGAATTAGCCGCTGTTGTAGGGTTCAGCTAGAGCAAATGAAAATAATTTATCAGAAAAACAAAGAAAATGAAACCCTGAATCACCATGATTTTTTCAAGATTGGAGAATCAATCAAAAGCTCTAGAAGTAACTTGAGTTTTACAGCATGATGGTGGATGTTTAACAATTGAGTAGTGTGTTGATTTTGAAAGATTTATGGCCCTTATTTTGTTAAGAACTTTACTAATACAAGCATCCAACAAATATGAAATATAGCCCAATCTGTTCAAAAAGGAAAAACAATCTACATCCTTCAAATCTTGCAATCTACATCTTTTATTTTTCAAAAAATAAAACAGAAATGTAGTCAGCATGCTGCAAAGGTTGGTGTTAAAAATAGTAGCTTTGGAAAACACGTGCCTCTCGTTTTGGGTTTATTTTATGTCAGAGAAGCACTGAGAGCATAATTTTGACATTGAGTTGAAGTGCTTGTAAAGAGCAGCCCGCAGATACCGCGCTGATTTTGTCCCCACCCCGATACCTCCAGCCCAGTATCAGTACCCTCATTACCTCTGCCTCGTTGCTGGAGAAGTAGCAAGTCAGTTATCTTTGCCGAAGCCCACGTCACAGAGCACGGTGTTAGGAAATGTGTGTGAGTGGATTTCGATGGGGATCAGCAGAAAGTCGCGGAAGGGGCGCCCCCAGTGGGAAGCACTGTGTACCTCGCCTGGTTTGCACCCCGCCCCCCTGTCCGTGCGTCTTTCATTAGAGTCTTCGTGCAGAAGAAACGTTTACGTGGCAACTTAACGTTAATACAGAGCACGAAAACTTGGGTTTGTAATGATTTGTACCAACAAATAATTACTTAAAATTGTTTTGCTCTTTGATGTAGTGTGGTATGCTCTTTACTATCTTTCCTACCATTGCCTCTTTTCAGAAAAACGATCTTTAATCAATCAGCATGTTGAAATTATAAAGTTGAGTCAATCAAACGAAATATATTTTTCTTTATTTTTTAACTGCTTACGTAAATCAGTTACATGTTAAGGCAATTGAATAGAGATAATGGGATTAAAACTTGTTTATATTTAGTCTCTATTTTTATAAAACAAATATAGCTATTTTTGGACCCATACTATTTCTCTCTTTTCAATTTTTTCTGCTTATTATGTTTTTATTTTAGGTTATTTCACAGTTGAGGATCTTGGGCAGATCAGTAACAGCTGGTTGCAAATTTGATAGAGAAATCTGGTCTAACGAACTCTCCCCTGTCCTCAATCTCTGGAAGAAACTAAACCAGGTTAGTACTGGAACAGTATTCAGATCGGGCCCCCTTTTTTCTCCCTGTCCTTTTTTTCCAGTTTTATCCCCAAATTTTCCCTGATGGTAAAATTCTGTGTCGATCTGCCTCTTATGTACACCAGTGTCCTGGAAGGAGGTGGGGACATAATAGTAACAGAATCAGATCAGCCCAAGAAGTGGGGTGACCCGTGTGATTGTCATATCCTGGTGACATGCCAGGTCATCTCCTGTACCTGCTGTACATCACTGTATTCACTGCTTGCCTTGTCTTTCCTCTTTCTGTAAAGTCAGTGCCTGCTGGTGAAGGTGGTATGTTTCACAGAACTGACAGTGCTGAGGACAAACAGTTCATCGGCTGGAACCCATTTAGTTTTGTATTGTAGGGTAGTTACGGTAGATGATAGAGTAGTTGCTCACGAGGCTGTCGTTAGCATATTGTGGTTCCTGTTCTTATTGAATAGGGATTTATTCTTTCGAATTCAAAAACAAAACTATACAGTCCATCAGTTTAGTGTTAGTGTAAAAATGCCTCTATCTCAGGTCTAACCTTTTAAAATGAGGGATGTCAAATAGAGCTAATTTCAGAACCTATGAAAAAGGTTAAAAACTTCTAAAAATTCAGAATCCTCAAACCTTACAGTATTGTGATTTTGAGTTGTTATGACATTCTCAACACATGGGGATCATCAGGAATCCCAGGAAGCACTGACCCCAGCTCACTGGGATCAGTGCTTCCATTCGGATCGCCCCACTGGTAAAGCTTGACACAGTCAGTGTGAGGGGCGTCTAGCAGGGACAGCGCTTCATGCCCTGGTGTCCTGCGCCGTGCTCCCCTCTGCCCTGGCCGTACAAGGAATCACCTTGCTCGTATTCCTGATATGGAGTCATGGTCCTGATCCGTTCTTTGTACTGGTTCACAGGAGAGTTACTATTCTTAAACCAGCCTTTGCTTTCCTTTAAATTAATAACCAGGAGGGGAAGTGTGGGAAGTTAAATGCATTTAGTGCCACATTCCTTTATTATACAGGGAAATTTGACTCCCTTTTTCCCTCAGAAGGCTTGATTTTACAAAGAAATTGTATTTTATAATTTTGGGATTATGTTTGTATTATGTTTGGATTTAGCTTTCTGAGTGATGTTTACGTTGTTTGAAACTAAAGGAAGAAGGAAGTAGAAAATGACCATGCATTTTGGGTTAATTTGAGCCTTTATGAATCATGAACTGGTTTTATCATAAACTGCAACAGAAGCAGGGAAGAACAAATGACTTCTGCTTTGTGAGGTGAACTTGAATGTGAGACATCACTGAGAATGGTTGGCCAGCACTCACATCTATAAGTGCATAGGCACTAAGCGTGTGTGAACTTTCTTTTGTGTGAAATGTAGTCCTGGCACTGGGAGCTGCGGGAGAGTCAGCGTCCTCTCAGGTGGCATCAGATGGGTGGGTGTGGGAGAGACAGGCGTGTTCGACATTGCTCAAGGTCTGTCTGGATCGAGCATAAGGACCACTTTCCATTACGAAGACAGGATCAATGGGGTATCTCAGCCATGCTGGATAGCAATTTCAAGTTGTTAGGGGTGTGTGTGTGTGCACCACAGAAAGAGAGAGAGCAAGCGAGAGAGAGCACAAGCATGCTACCAAGACTAGAAACAGACCTCACAGTCTTTTGCCTTGGGTAGTTTGCACACGTTAACAGTGTTTGTTCTTTGAATCCATGAGCACGGGATGTTTTTCCTTTTTCCTTCCCGTGCCATCCTCAGTGTCTTTCATCATTGCTTTCCGGTTTTCACAGTACAGGTCATTGACCTTCTTGGCTAAGTTTATTCCTAGGTATTTGGTTATTTTTGGTACGCTTGTAAATGGCACTGTTTTCTTCATTTCTCTTTCTGTTACTTCATTGTTAGCGTAGAGAATTGCACCTGATTTCTCTATGATTTCTTATCCTGCAACCTTATTGAATTCATTTATTGAGTAGTTTTTTTGGTGGCATCCTTTGGGTTTTCTATATATGGTATCGTATCGTCTGCACATAGCGGAAGTTTATTTCTTCCTTATGAAGTCAGATGCCTTTTATTTCTTTTTCTTGTCTGAATGCTGTGACTGACTTCCAGTAGTGTATTGAATAGAAGTGGTAAGAGTGGGCATCCTTGTCTTCTTCCTGAACGTAGGCTAAAAGCTCTCAGTTGTTCACCCTTGAGTACGGTGTTACCTGTGCATGTTCTTATGTAAGGCCTTTATTATGTGGAGGTATTTTCCCTCTAAACCTGCTTCCTTGAGGGTTTTTATTTATTTTTATTTTTTTTTATTTATATATGAAATTTATTGTCAAATTGGTTTCCATACAACACCCAGTGCTCATCCCAAAAGGTGCCCTCCTCAATACCCATCACCCACCCTCTCCTCCCTCCCACCCCCCATCAACCCTTAGTTTGTTCTCAGTTCTCAACAGTCTCTTATCATGGAAGGATGTTGTACTTTGTCAGATGCTTTTTCTGCATCTATTGAAAGGATCATGTGGTTTTTACCCTTTGTCTTGTTGATGTGGTGTATCATGTTGATTGATTTGTAAATACTGAACCAGTCTTGCATCCCAGGAATAAATCCTCCTTGGTTGTGGTGAATGATTTTTTTAATGTGGAATTGGATTCAGTTTGCTAATACTTTGTTGAGGATTTTTATATTGATGCTCATCAGAGTTATGGGCCTATAGTTCTTATTTTTCTTGTCTTTATCTGGATTTGGTGTCAGGGTCATGCTGGGCTCATAGAATGAATATGGAAATTTTTCTTCCTTTTCTATTTTTTGTAGTAGTTGGAGAAGAAGAGGTATTAACTCTTCTTTAAATGTTTGGTAGAATTGATGTGTGAAGCCATCTCGTCCTGGACTTTTGTTTGTTGGGAATTTTTTGATTACTGATTCAGTTTCACTGCTGGTAATCGGTCTGTTCAAATTTTCTATTTCTTCCTGCTTCAATTTTAGGAGGTTATGTGTTTCTAGAATTTTATCCATTTCTTCTGAGTTGTCCAATTTGTTGGCATATAATTTTTCATAATATTCTTTTATAATCCTTTGTATTTCTGTGCTGTCAGTTGTTACTACTCCTGTTTCATTTCTGGTTTTGAGTCCTTTGTGTGTGTGTCTCTCTCTCTCTTTTTTGATGAGTCTAGCTAAGAGTTTTCAAAGAACCACCTCCTGGTTTCATTGATCTATTGTTTTGTTAGTTTCTATATCATTTATGTCTGTTCTCATCTTATATTTTCTTCCCTCTATTGATTTTGGAATTGTTTGTTCTTTTTCTAGCTCCTTTACGTATAAGGTTATTAGGTCTTTTTACTGAGGAAGTTCACTGTTAATCCAATTCTTATTTCTTTGTAACTGATTAATATTTTTCCTCTAAGAATGTTCTGTCTCTTATATCCTTACGTTTTACCATAGTATAAACAGGTGTGGATTTGTTTGTATCTGTTTGTTTGATAATCTGAGCCTTTGTACTGGAACCTGTTTAGCTCCATTTCCAACACCAGCTGGACTACATGCTGTGTCATATCAACTACCTTGCTAACCATGACTGTGGCTTCATATTGCTGTTTTTAGCCCTGAAGTGGTGACGTGTTGGACAGTGATCCATTCAGGGCGGTGGTAAAGCCAGCAACCCTGAATTCTCCCTTGCCTCACCCCAGCCTGGGGCCCAGCCCTCTTCAGCGGTTGGTCCCCGTACCCTACTGTTTACAAGGGTCTCCCACATGTTCCCATTCTCAGGGTCCCATCTTCTGGTGTAGTGTTCTCTTGTTGTGTCCAAGACAGGATTCGCAGGTGGGACATAGTTTGCTCTCCTGTCTGGAAACAAGCGTAACTTTTAAAATTTCATTCTGATTTTTGTTTGTAAGATACATATAGATTATTTCAAAATTACCATTATGTTAAACTCATAGTGGCCATATTAATGTAGCGAGTATCTTACACTTCATTCTGCTACAATTTGTTTTTTATCTCTTCCGTTTCTTTCCTGAATTTATTGTCATAATTTAGACTTCTGTTCTCTCATATGGATAACAGAAAACTCCAGATTTGACTCTCCTTCTAATAGATACTTTCTGAAATCATATTTCTTATTATTATCACATTAATTTTACTAAGGGAAAAAGAATTTTTCACCACATGGCTCCATATCCAACCTTACTTCTAAGCTTCTTTCACACTCTAGCAGACCTGAGTGCTATGTGCACAAACCACCTCAGATTTGTGTATGAGGAGTTTCCGAGGGCTGTTTCCATATCCTTGAATAGGCTCATCATGCCAGCCACCAGTGATGGCCAGATAAGATCCCTGCATTTTACTCCTTTCCCTCTCCATGTTTCCCAATACTAATTTATAACTTGCACAACAATTCTCATGAAGGTTGTATTTTAAACCAGGCAAATTAAGATGTGGCCCTTAGGAATAGGAATTCTGTTTTGTAAGAGTTTTGAAATTTATGCATATAAATGTTTCAAATGCAACAACTTAGTACTACATTCCTTTTTTAGTTTTTCATCATTATTTCTATGAGGTTATGGTTAATTACTAGCTAAACTTAAAGGTTAACTATATCTAAGCAATAATAATAATTTTTTGAAAAGTAATTATAAGGGAGTCACCGAGGTCCTAATCTTTTCCCATTAAATAGGTAGGAGACATTAATTGAATCACTTCTGGACTCTATGTTAGCTTTTTCTTGAAAAGGGACGTCAACCTCTTCTCTGCATTCATGCATTAACTCATTTTTCATTCATCAAGTATCTATTGATGTTTCTCTTAGATGCTATGTGCTATGGTTTATTAAGATTTGATAATAATACTCAAAAATAGAGGTATTACAATGTTTTGGGGGAGCCCAGGTGAAGGAATGCTTAATTCTGCTGAAAGGAAGCCAGGGAATGTTACACGACGAGCGAGAAATCCTCTCGGTTAAAGACAAGGTGTGGTGTCGCAGAGAGATGGAAGAGTGTGCCATGTCT